GGGTCGGCCGATCGGTCGTCACATCATGTCGAGCCTCGTCCAGAGCAAGATCTAGAGTCGTGTTCTCATGGCTCGGCTGACCCTCCAACTGCAACACCAGTCAAGCCACTCGGAGGTAGAGGACCCCTCCGAGCCGCAGTCCCGGGCAAGGAGACCGTGGCGCTCGAGCTCTTTGTTGGCGAGGCTGGCCTCACCTGGGCCCTCCGGTCCCGCGGTCTGCGGGTCGGGCCACCCTGTGAACTGCTACGAGGCGCGAAGTTCGACCTCACCAGAAACACTCAGAACCTCATCAAGTCCTGGATCCTTGCGGGCCTCATCTGGTGCATCCATCTGGGGGCCCCATGTGCGGCCTGGTCGATTCCAAGGAGGGGAGTTGTTAATCTGGAAAAGGCTCACGCCAAGGAGGCAGTCGCTGTGGAGCTGGCCCTCTTCACGGTTGAGGTATGCACGTTGGCCTCCCGGTGCGGGGTCCTCTGGAGTCTGGAGAACCCTGCGTCATCGGGGCTTTGGGAGTTCGGGCCCATCGTGGACCTCATGGGGCCCCCAGAGGTCTTCAAGGTCACCTTCCACATGTGCCAGTATGAGGTCTCCCACAAGAAGCCCACCATTATCCTCGCCAACACGTTGGCCCTGCGCGGGCTCGAGGCGAGATGTCAGGGGGTCATGTTCATCGTATTCTTGAGGGTCAAGAACGAGTCTTGGGAGTTGATGGAGTCTGGCGTTCACAATGCAAAACAAAGGCAGCAGGGACAGATCCGTCGGCATTGTGCTCAAAGTGGGCTTCTCTTATTTTACTATCGCACCGTCTTCAGCACTTGGGTCCCAGCCAACTTTCGTGGATAAGTGGGATGAAGCTCTTGCGGCACTTGTCGGACAACGGAGGCCCCGCACCAACCGCGGATCGGCTGAGAGGGCGGACGACGCCGACTCGGAAGACCTTCAACGTGCTGAAGGATACATCGTCGAGAACCGACTGCGCTTCGGGCGTCATCCTCTGGCCTGGGCCTCGTCGACAGAAGGCGCAGCGGAGGAAGGTGGTGGCCGCTAGGTCCTCGGCCCCCGCGGATCGTTTCTTGCAGGAGAGCACCGCGGGCGAGAAGTCCAAGGACATCTACCGACGCGAGCTCAGTCGTTTCTTCAGTTGGGCCGAGGAGCGTAGCCTCTCGACCAAGCCCGACGAGCTCGCGTCCACCATGAAACAGTACTTCTACTTTAAGTTCCAGGAGGGGTACGGGCCCGGCTTGGGCCGCTCCGTCTTCTCCGGGTACCTCTTGCTGCACTCCGCGAACTACAAGCTCGAGAGGGACCGGCTCGGCGACGTCGAGAGGGCGCTCGCCGGCTGGGCCAAGCGGGCTCGCGAGACTGTGAAGGACCCCGCGCCTCAGGAGGTGCTGCTGGACATGGGCGTCTGGATGCTCGACCACGGACGGGGTGGGAGTGCCTCGTGCATGGCCCTGCAGTTGGACGACTACGCCAGGCCCTCTGAGAGCGTGGACCTCGTGCTGGGCAACGTGCTCAAGCCAGTCGTCGGTGTGCGCGGGGCGCCGTCCCGCGACTGGGGCATTGTCTTTGCCCCAGCAGAGCTTGGCTTCGTCGCCAAGACAGGTCAGGTCGACGACTCTGTGGTGCTGGGCAGTTCCTCTCGCCTGTGGGCCCCACAGGTGGCACTGGCTCTCGTGACGCGAGCCTCCGGCGGCTCGCGTCGCTCGCGGGGCAGTCAGCAGGCCGGTCCTACGACACGTCTGTTCGACTCACTCACCCTGGCGCAGTACGAACGGGACTTCAGAGACGCCGCCAAGGCGCTCGGATGCGAGAAGCTCAACATCACACCGCACACGGTGCGGCACACAGCCCCCTCGCACGACATTTACCACAAGCACCGGTCCTTGGAGCAGGTGCGACGCCGCGGCCGCTGGGCAGCCAAGAAGAGCGTCACTCGCTACGAGCGCCATGCCAAACTCTTGAAACAGTACAGCAAGTTGACGGCTGTGCAGATCGCCAGGATGAATAAGTCAGTCCGTCAGTTCCCAGCCGCCGTACTCAAGCACATTCGTGGTCGTTGAATGCTGTTCAAGTTTACCCACCCTCGTCCACCCTCTTTCTTCTGATATTCGTGACTACGTCCCAGAGTTCCCATATGGGCAAAGATACGGGAGAGTTCCGATCGGAGAGAGTTTTTTCAGCGCAATCGCATGACGATTCCTTGGCCGGATTCTTTGTATCACACAGGTGAACATCGGAAGAGTGAAAATGAATGACCTTCTTTGTTATATATGAGGCCTTCGGCCGCCGTGATATCTGAGGCCTCTCGGCCGCCTTCCGCTGGTGTAGGTTATGGGCAGGCTCCTAGAGGCTCTGGGCACGCACTTAGGGTTCAGAGGAATGTGAAATATTATTGTGTTTTCCTCCTTCCCGCTCGGCGTGCACGTTCCGTTGCTAATACTTGTGCTCAAGCTCTCCCACCCACGGGCCACCCTGCTTGAGGGGAGAGTTCCGATCGGAGAGAGTTTTTTCAGCGCAATCGCATGGCGATTCCTTGGACGGATTCTTTGTATCACACAGGTGAACATCGGAAGAGTGAAAATGAATGACCTTCTTTGTTATATATGAGGCCTTCGGCCGCCGTGATATCTGAGGCCTCTCGGCCGCCTTCCGCTGGTGTAGGTTGTGGGCAGGCTCCTAGAGGCTCGGGGCACGCACTTAGGGTTCAGAGGAATTCTCATTTCAATGCGTCCCCGGGGCCTTATTCTGGGCCGCGCACCTGCCGCCGGCCGCCACGAGTTGAGGCCTACCCCGCTTGGACGCCCCCTGTCTTGGCCGCCCCCGAAGTGTAGGTGCACGGTTGACGTCCTCCTGCTCAGAGGCGCCCTGCGTCGTGAGAAGCGGGCGTTCTGCGCCGCTGGGCGTCGGGGCCCCCGGGGGGGCCTTGAAGGATTTGGGGGTCCGGCCAGAGGGGCGCCGTTGGAAAAGGTCGGGGGCGGAAAAGAGGGGGGTGATGACTAGGGGTGGGTGGGTATCATCGCGTGGGCCATGATATTTCCCCAGATCTCATGGCGCCTCTTCTTATTTCATTACGTCCCTGGCCCCCCCGCTGGGCCGCGCGCGTGCCGCCGGTCATGATTTGCACCCCCCCCTCTTGGAAACCCCCCTCTTGGCCGCTCCCGAAAAGGTGGTCCGAGTGAGCTTCAGACGCGAGCTTGCCACGGCCCGAGAGGGGCCCGGGAGAGGCCAAAGTGGTGGTCGCCGCCGGCGCTGTTTTCGTCGCCGCCGCCGTCGTCGTCGTCTTCGTCGTCATCGCGGTCCTCGTGGACGCCGCCGCCGCCGCCGGCGCCGCCGCCGCCGCCGTCGTCGTCGTCGTCGTCGTCGTCGTCGTCGTCGTCGTCGTCGTCGTCGCACAGGGGAGCTCCAGAGGTCTCGGGCGGCTCTCCGTGGAGGTGGCCGCAGGGGCCACCCTGGAGGGTTCCTGCGGCTGCGGCTGGGCCAAACAAGGGGCCAAGAGCGTCCAACAACCTCTACAGTCGGGGCGCTGAAGAAGGAACCTTTTCCGTTGGGGAGGGGCTCCGTGTTCCTTAGATGTTTCCCAGTTTGCCTTAGGTTTTCCTTAGGCGTTCGATGGGAAATCGAAGATGAATTGTTGACGTTTCGCGTATCCCCACCTGCCCATCCAGAAACGATGCCCAGGGGAGTTGAGGTGATCAGGGAAGTCGGGGAGCATGCAGAATAACAAAGGGCGGGGGAAGCTGCCACGTACCCCAAGAGGGGGAGGATGGAGAAGGAATCCTCGTCGGAGGGGGAGGGGGAGGAGGAGGAGGAGGAGGAGGAGGAGGAGGAGGAGGAGGAGGAGGATAATGAGGAGGAGGATAATGAGGAGGAGGATAATGAGGAGGAGGATGTGGAGTAGGGAGAGGACGAGGAGGACGAGAAGGAGGAGAAGGAGCAGAGGGAGGAGAAGGAGGAGAAGGAGGAGGAGGAAGAGGGGGATGAGAAATTAAAGAGGACGGCGAACCGAAGAGCCAGAAGCGTCTTAAATGCATTTCGGAGATTTTCTTGAGGCTTCTTGGGGGTCTCTTGGGAGCCTCTTCGAGGCCTCTTGGGCGCCTCTTGGGGCCGTCTGGGCGCCTCTTGGGGCGCTCTTGGGGCGCTCTTGGGAGCTGTAGGGGCGCTCTTGGGGCCATCTTGGAGGAGATCGATCAACGAAGGGGGGTTCCCTAATTAGCCTCCCCCCTCAGGAGCTCCAAACATCGCCTCTTGGGGCGCTCTTGGGGCGCTCTTGGAGCGCTCTTGGGCGCTCTTGGGTCTGTCTTGGAGCTCTCTTGGGCCTCTTGTGGGGCCCTCTTGGGCCATCTTGGAGCCATCTTGAGGCCTTGGATGGCCATCAGAAGCGAAACGGGGAGAAAGCAACAAACATTGATTTTCTTAAGGTTTTGGGGCGATTTTGGCATCTTCGGGGCCTCCTTGGGGAGCTCTTTGGCCACTTGGAGCCGTCTTGGGGCCGTCTTTGGGCCTCTTGGAACCATCTTAGGAGCCATCTCGAGCGATCTTGCGCTATCTTGGGCCATCTTGGAGCTCAGCTTGGGCTCTCTGACGCGCTCTTGAAGCCATCTTGGGGCCAAAAGAGCCGTCCGACCGCTCGCGGAACCCTCCGTCCAGGTCCAGGGGAGGGGGTAGGGGGATGGGTAAACCCCTCCCCAAGGGTGAAGAGGGAGGGGTGGAAGAGGATCTGTTCTAGACCACCTACGCTCAGAGGGCTGGTGGGATTTATAGAAGAACTAGGGGCCTCGTTCCTCATTTAGGGTTCCTCAGGTCAACGCCCCGACGGGAAGGGGCCAAGAACGTCCCTCTATCTTACTGGACATCGTCTCCGCCGCAGTTGCCGCCGCTGCCGCTGCCGCCGCATTCGTCGTCGTCGTCGCCGCCGCCGTTGCCGCCGTCGCCACCGCATTCGCCGCCGTCGTCATCGTCGCCGACGTCGCCGACGTGGTCGTAGTCCATCGCGCCAGGTGAACCACTCAGGCGACCTCGGTTGCGGGCACTACACGGCCGCCGCCAGGCCGAGCTCCGAGAACGCGCTGGGCCGCGACGCCGAAGAGTGGCGGGGCGGGGGCGGCGGGCGCCAGGGAGCAGGAGAGCTCCTTGCCCCTGCCTGTCCCCTCCTCCCTTCCCTCTTTCCCTCCACCTCCTCCTGCTCCTTTTTGCGTACAGCTGCAAGTGGCATGAGCCACTGAGGACGACAATGCGGATTAGCGCTCATAGCTGGCACCGCTGTCACGAACGATACGATGTGATGATATTGAGATGGACACATTTTTGGGGTCAACCCGAGTGCGCGTTTGAGCATTGCCTGCTGGATCCAACTCGGGACCTCGTCGGCACTTGCACTGGCACTTCCACATCAGGACGATAACTGACATATATGGCGATGTGGCAAGTGTTTAATGGAGCATGTGTCGACATGTCCCTGGATCTTACACACTGCTGCAGTACAGTGCACGAGCAATTGGTGGGAATATCATATGTTGATGGCGAGCATGCGCGGAGCGGACGGGCAATGTTCTTAAATGAGTTTTTGAGATTCCCTTGACATTGTTACTTCATGAACGAAGTATGGGGCGCGGCGCCGACTCCAACCGCGTTAGACAGGCTATTGCTCAGGCAGCGAGGGGTGCACAACGGAATAGGAAATCAATACCACAATCAGCTCTGTTGTTCATGCGCGCCCAAGTCGAATACATGGCCTGCCACTGTGATGCAAACTTCGAACATGCATTCACGCCGCGAAGCATTGCCCATCAAGCGAGCAATAGGAAGGCCCAACTTCCCCATGGCGATGCCGGGGAGGACTTGCATACGAAGCCTTGCCCTTCCAAGGGGGCGACAGGGAGGCCTTGGTGTGGCACACGATGTATGAGTATGGGGTCAGTAGGTGGCACACGAGCACGCGATTCACCTCGCACGCGAAGTAGGTATACCGCCGAGCTTGACCACTGACTACGTGAAAGTGCCATTTAAGAGGATCGGTGTGGCGGAAGTTAACCTCACTGCGCGAAGAGCTGTGTAACACTGACTTCGGTGTTTCTATCTGCCTGTCTAGAAAATGGAACAGTTCGAGAGCGGGCTTGGTCCAAATGCCATTGAGGACAGCAGGTTCTATTGAATGCGTGCAACTTGCACCCCTGTCAGGGATGATACTTTGAGACGCCATTGAGATCGAAGCATAAGTATGCTTTACCACGTGCAGCACGAGTGCGCGTTGGGGCATTGCTTGTATGATCGAATCCGGGGCCTCGTCGGCCACGGCACGGGCAACTCCACATCAGGATGAATGTGGAAAAAGACAATTCGCACGCACGTGAACGATATGGAGCATGTGCATGTAGATCTTGTGCCAACAGGACTTGATGCTGCCCCTCCTCCTCCCCCTCCTTTCCCCCCTCTTCGCCTCTTCCCGCTCCTGTCCCTCCACTCTTCCTCCTCTCTCTTCTCCTGCTCCTGCTCAATCGAATTTCCTCATACATAATTTCTACCTGTCGCACCCCGACGCCGTTCATAAGGACGGGCCAGGCGTTTCGCCTGATATTGCCTCACCACCGATGATTCTGAAGCTTAAACATTGGCAACAGCTTCACAGATGGCGGGCGGGTCGTTTTCAAAATGGGGTTCTCGTCTTAGCGCCGCGCACATTCGTTTCAAACATTTGCTTGAGTTTCACGGGTTGAGGGCGGGTGGTTTTCAACATGTGTTTCTCGCTGTAGCGCCGCGCACATTCGTCATACAAATCAGCAAGAGCTTCACGGATTGAGGGCGGGTGGTTTTCAAAATGTGGTTCTCGCCTTCGCGCCGCATGCATTGTATATATATATATACATATATATACACATCTGCAAGAGTTTCACGGATTGTGGGCGGGTGGTTTTCGAAATGCGGTTCTCTCTTAGCGCCGCGCACATTCGTCTTAAACCTTGCAAGAGTTTCACGGATTCCCATGGTCAACGTACCAGAAATGAGAAATGGTGATTTGGAAAGACTCAGGATTAGAAGGGCGCAGCAGTTACGTTGATTCGCGGTGTTGAAGTCCCAGGAATGGCGTTCTGGCACGATTCAGGCTCGTCAAGACGCATCAGTCAGGTTAATCCGTGGCGTTGGAATCCCGAGAAAAGGTTTTGACATTCTTTGGAGTTTCAAAATTTATGTCTTCCAACGAGGCAGTTCCCTCAGTCGAAGTGAACCCTTGTATGGGGCCTATGAACAGAGAGCTTGGAGGGAGGGTTTATTCCAACGTCGTTGATGACTCTTGGGTTTACACTGGGTCCTCTTCCTCCTCCTCCTCCTCCTCCTCCGTTTCCCCCTCCTCCCCCTCGTTCTCCTCCTCCGTCCGCTTTATCCCCCTCGCTGCCCCTCGCTTCCCCTTCGCCTTATTACCCCTCAGCCGTATCCCCACTCCTCCTTCCTCCTCCCATTGCCCTTCCTCTTGCTCGTCAAGCACCAGCAGGCAGGTTGGCGGAGGGAGGCGATATAATATATATATATATAGAGAGAGAGAGAGAGAGAGAGAGAGAGAGAGAGGGAGAGAGAGAAAGAGAGAGAGAAAGAGAGAGATGGCCTGATTTGTCCTAGCGCTGGCCAGGGTCCAGCCGCCTGTCGCAAGGCCGAAGCACTGTTTTTCGACACCCCGCCGGGCCACGCTGCCCGCCGTTGCTGGCCTGGGTCGTGAACCGCCGCGGCTGCTTCCCTCCCCGTGTGGCCACTGCGTCTACAGCGGATCCTCTGCCGTCCTTGCTCCCGCGCGCCCCCTCCTCCTCGGCCTTCTCCTCCTCGGCCCTTTCCTCCCCCCGCGCGCCTTCTCGTCCCCGGCCTCCCTGGCTCCCTGGGCAGTCCCTGCCGCGGCCGTCCCTGCTCCCCTCGGCCTCCCGCCCCTCCTCACCCCTCTCCCCCTCCCCACCCCCTCTCACCCCTCCTCCCCTGCCCTTCCTCACCCCTTCCCCCCTCCCCCAGCCTCTCCTCCCACCTCCTCTCCGTAGCCATTTTGGCTCAAGAGCTATGCACACTGGGGGCTCCGCGCCTCCGTGCCAAAACGGGATCGCTCTGTTTCCCGAGCGTGGCAAGGCTCGCTTGCGGCCTGGCAGTCTTTCTTCACTGCAGTCACGGCCTCCCTGCACAGAGGCCCGTGGCCCAGAGTCCCGCGCGCGCTATGGCTCCTCGTCGGGTTGCTGCTGATGAGCCTTGGATATGCAAGTCGTGTGTCCACTCAGTCACTGGCAAGCCGTGGTTCAATGCGGGAGGGACGTTGTACTGCAAGCAGTGTCAACTCCACAAGTCGGTGGTGTTCAAAGAGTACAAGCGAGGCAGAACCCCCAGCGTCCATGCTGCGGGAACCAAGGGCCCTAGCTCAGTCGACAAAGGCCTCGCGGCTCGTTGTGCACAGCTCGAAGAACAAATCAAGCGGCTCACCTCGGAGAAGGCCGAGCCCACGCCACCGCCACCATGGGCGCAATCACAGCCTGACGGTGCGGAAGACAAGCGCAAGCGCATCAAGGAACTGGACGGCATCATCCGCGTGCTCTCGCCTGATAAGGACGCGACGGTGCTGGCCAATTTCAAGAAGGAGAAGGAGACCTTGGAGCGGGAGTTGTTCGACGGGCGCCCGATCGAGGACCAAGCTCGGTCGTTGGCGGCCAAGCTCCAGCATGCGAGGTCCCAGGAGTCCAGCGTGCGCAAGTCGGTCGAAGAGCAGGGGGCCAAGATCCAGGAGCTGCAGGGGCACTTGGACAAGGCTGAGGCAAAGCTCGTGGAGGCCTCCGCCGAGGTGGTCAGGCTCGAAGAGGAGACGCGCAAGGCCATGTCCCAGGCGCGCCCGCCCGAGCAGCAGCGGCCACCCACGCTCCATGAGATGCTCCCTGGGTTCGCCGTGTCGGTGGAGCAGCTGGGGCGCGCCGCCAGCACTCTGGGCTTGGGGCCTGATCTTACTGCTGGGCTGCAGGCGATGGCGGAGACGGTCACCAAGTTGCAGCAGGCGCCGCAGGCAAAGCCACCTCCGCCTCAGACTGCATAACCACCTGTACAAGAGCCTGATCAAGCCGAACCTCCCGACATTGAGATGGAAGAGGCAGACATGCGGGCGACGCTCAACGCGGGAGGAATCCCCACGGACGAAAGTGTCTCTGCCGAGGCGGTCACGGAAAGGTTCAAGCGGTTCCAGACGACGTACATCGAGGCGTGCAAGCGGGCTCGCAAACAATAGCTTCGTCAGCTTTGGGCTTGGTATCTTACTCAGTTCAGCGGCAATGACGGCAAGCAATGACGGGTCCCTTCGAAGCGGGGTATCAGCTTCATCTGCAACTTCTCCGAGGACTACGACGTCGGCGGCGTGTGCTACACCGTGGGCAAGCGTCTCTGGGGAAGATTCTGATGTTATTGGCACGCGTTGGCTACCCTCAGGGAGGCTCACTCGGCTTGCCGAGCAGAGGCCTGGGGCGGAACCCCGTGCACCGCGCGCGTCACAGAGTGCGGCGTCTTCCGCGGCATCGGCAAGTGTCTCTTGGGATGAGAATGCTATTGGCACGAGTTGGCTACCCTCAGCACCGCTCACTCGGCTTGCCGAGCAGAGCGCTGAGGTGGAACCCCGTGCATCGCGTACCTCGCAGAGTGCGGCTTCTGCTTCACAGATGGGGTGTGCTTCTACGGCGTTCTCGGCTCCAGGAGGTACGCATTGCTCACCGCCCGTCGTCGGCGGGCAAGCAGCATCGAGGACAACTGAGGGCGGAGAGTACCGACCGTGGGAGGCCCCTGGCCCCCACGGCACGCACCACTCACCCTCTTCGCCTCGCTGCGAGCCTGCTGCGACGTTGGACGGCAGAGGGTACCGACCTACTGGAGCCATGGTGGGATCAAACATGGACGGGGAGTACGACCCGTTCGAGTTTCTTGATGCCGATCGGGAAGCCGACGACCTTGTTCCCCTTATTTGCCCGAACCCCTTCGGAAATACGTAAGTCAGAACGCGATGAAGCAGCAGGCGCAGCTTCGTCATTTCCCTCTGCCCCCGCTGATGAACATTTGGATCTCGGGCGCGGTAGCGTGAGCGTCGGGTCTGATATATCTAAGACGGGTGAGTTGGAGGGCAAATCTTCTCCACCTGCCATAGCAGGCACAATCATGTCGGTGAATGCGAGCTCGTTCGGCCCGCTGTTCGACTTTCTGGCCGTGGCGAAGGCCAAGATCATTTGCGCGCAGGAGACGAGGATCGTGGAGTCACGCCTCGGGGAGTTCCAGCACCGCGCCAAGGACCTCGGCTTCCACGGCATGTGGGCACCAGCCTTGGCGACCAATGCCAAGGGCCCGCAGGCCAACCACTGTGGGGTTGCAATCCTGGCGCCCACGAATGTGATGATCACGAAGCCTCCCGACGGCGACCCCATTATTTATCCAGGCAGAGTGGTGGCCAGCTTTGTCAATTGGGGAGCCCCTGGCGGGGTGATTGTGGTCAGTGCATACTTGGTGACAAGCATCGGTCTGACAGGTGAGAATCTTTCCATACTGTGGGCCATCGCTCAGAGAGTCGCTTTCTGGAATGCTGCGGGCTTTGACTGGATCTTAGCTGGTGACTGGAATTCTGATATAGCAGCTCTGAATGCGAGGGGGTGGATTGAGTCTCTGGCTGGGTTGTCTTACACTCCACCGTCGGCCGCGTGCTGCAAGGAGGACGGCAACTCGAAGATTGACTACTTCATTGCGTGTGCAAATTTGTCGGCACGTCTCGGGACAGCAGTGGTGGTGGACATGTACGGCACCATGCCCCCTCCGCACTACCCAGTAAGCATTGATCCCCTGGGCAGCGACAGGCTAGCATGGTGTCTTGTGCCAGACGAGCCGAGGGCATTCCCAGTTATTCCTCCATGTGGGTGCGCGAGGTTCCCGTACCCGTGGGATGCTGTGGATCATATTTTCTTCGAAGTGAAGGAGGTTTCAGATCTTGCCCGAGTTTGGGGCGCTGTGCTTGATGGAGTCGATTTCGAGTTGGCTGGGCGCTATGACAAGGTTGACAACGATGCGATTTCTTTCGTCGGGCGTTCGGGCCCTCCACGTTTCAAGTGGAAGCTGTTGGCTTGGGAACCTCCGCGCCGTCGTACTTATCGCGGGCCAAAGGTCTATGCGTGGGCGACGGTCAAAAGATGGTGTCAGCATCTCAGGTCGGAGCGTGATCGACTGGGCAGGTTCTGTCAACGGTTACAGTTGGCTTCGGTGGTCTGCCAGCTTACGCCCCTGCAGTACGCCAAGGTGCTGCAGGCTTTCTACGAGGTGGACCAGTACTGCCGTAGGATCGTCCGCGACAAGAAGACCTGCCACCACTTGGACCAGGACACCGTCGACTTTCTGCTGCGAGGCTTGGGCGCGATCGGCGACGCCGGCTTCGACTCAGGTTTGGACAACATCATTCTGAAGGCCGACGCGGTGTTGAAGGCAGCGGGGTCGGTCTCGGAGCAGGCTTGGCGTGGCTGGGCCAAGCAGGCGTTCCTGGGAGGGGCCAGTCAGGCCCACGCTGCCTCCAAGGTGCGCGGCAAGCAGGAGCAGCTCAACTTTGACGTGGACGCCCAGCCGTACCTGCTGGCAAACCACACCCTCGACGCGTGGGAGGGCGTCTGGCGACGCCACGACTTGTCGCCCCCAGAGCTGCCGCCAGGCCATGAGAGCTGGTCTGCTCTGCCCGAGCTCGACCACCACCAAGTGCGGGCTGCCATTCGCAAGTTTTCGACGCGTACGGCAGCTGGGCCGAGCCGTATTTCACCTAGATGCCTGGACGCTCTGTCGGACCAGGCGCTCGAGCGCATCGCCAAGATGTTTCTGCTTTTCGAGCAGTGGCTGCCCTGGCCTCCTGAGCGGGTTTACAGTGAAATGGTTCGCTTACCTAAGCCAGATGGGGACACACGCTTGATTGTGTTATCTCATGCGCTGGTTCGCCTTTGGGGCAAGCTCAGGAGACCAGTCTCGGCAGCGTGGCAGGCTGGCTACCAGTGCGACCAGATGTGGGGCACGAGAGCGGGCCACACGTCCACAGATTCGGTTTTTGATCATAATATTCAGCAGGAGGTTGCGCAGTTGTTGGGGGAACATACATGTACAATCTTATTAGATATGAGCAAATGTTATGATATGGTTGACCCACATGCGCTGCTCCGAGAAGGCCAGGCTCTTGGGTTTCCACTGCGTCTTCTTTGGCTCCTCATTCAGAGCTACCAACAGCCCCGTCGAATAAGGGCCTTTGGGAGCGTTTCTCGAGCTTTTCGGTCCTTCCAGGGGATCCTGGCAGGGTGTACCCACGCCACATATGTCCTGTACCTGCTCACCTATAGGTCGGTGCAGAGGGTCTCGAAGGTCTCCCCCACGGTGACCCCGAGGACGCTCATGGACGATATAGGGCTCCAGCATACCTCCCAGGACCCCAAGGAGGCCAAGTACCTTGCGCTTGCTGTCAAGGGTTTCATCCAGGACTCCAAGGGCCTCGGCATGATCTTGAAGGCGTCGAAGTCTGGGGCTGTTGCTGGTTCTCGGAAGTTCTGGAAGGGGGTGCAGCACCACATGGGCTCCATGAAGATCCCGCACAAGGGCCACATGAGGAACCTAGGTCACGAGCTCACGGGGCCCAAGGTTATTCGGGGCATGGAAAAGAAGCGCCTCAAACAGCTTAGAGAGAGGAAGGCGAGGTTTTCCATGCTGAAGTCTGCGGTCGGCAAGGTCTCGACGGCTTTGTGGCGCACAGGCGCCCTTCCATCAGTGGCGCACGGTGCTGCAGTTGCTGGCGTAAGCGACGTTGCACTTCGAGAGCTGCGTCTTTTCGCGGCCGTCTTGAACGGCGCGCCAGGCAGATTTAACACGGGTGTGACCGCCTACTTGATCAGCCACAAGAGCGAATTCTACGATCCTATCTACCACGCCACAATAGCCATAGTTATTAAATTTGCGGAGTGGGTCTGGGACGGTAGAATACCCGACAGTCGTCTACATCGGGCTTGGGAGGCTCTCCGAGATAAGATCCGCACGCTGTCCTGGGCTAACACTCGGGGCCCGATCGGGGCCTGCTGGTTGACGTTACGACGTATTGGTTGGAACTTAGTATCTAGTCATATGGTGGTTGATGATCTAGGCCATGTTTTCGACTTGCGTGTTATGTGCCCTGCCGACCTGAAGGTTTTCCTCACCCAGGGGATCCAGCGTTGGCAGGACGAGCGGCTGCTCAAGCATTTTTACACCGCTGAGCCTGACGAGCAGATATGGCACCGAGGCTTACGCAACTCGGTGACGAGTATCACGTGTGTTCGTAGACTTGGGGCCCTCCAAGCGCACTGGTCAGGGAACCTCCCCATACCTCAGCTCCAAGATGCCCGTCAAAAGATCCCAATCAGGCCGTGTGCAGCTTGTGGGGCCCAGTCTCAGGGTATTTGGGGCCACGTGCTCTACGAGTGCCCCGAGCTGCTCACGCAGCGCCAGGACTTCTTGGACATCTCAGAGTACTTGGAGGCAACCAGAGGCATGCTCTTGAAGGGGGGCGAGTGGTATGAGGGGCGTCTGGCTTGGGAGTCCAACTACCTGGTCTTTGGGGCCCCCGCTCCTCCTGCGGGTATCCCTGGGCTCGACACAATAAGTTCGGAAGTTCTCCTGTGGGGCGACGCCGATGGGCCTTGGGGCCCCAAGAGCTATACCGACGGTTCGGGCTTCGCCTCCAGTGTTCCAGAGACTAGGCGGTGTGGGTACTCATGCATCCAGCTGGACCCCAAGACCCTGCTGCCAGTCCGTGCAGTCTACGGACCGCTGCCCTTCTATGTGCAGACCGTTGGCCGTGCTGAGAGATATGCTATCAAAATGGGTTTGGAATTTCATCCTGATCATGAGCTGTTCGTGTCTGACCTCCTGGGGCTGGTAACTGAGGGCAAGTCTTGGGATCAATCCCTTCAGCGCGGCCGAGGCAAGCACGCCAGGATATGGCGCGCAATGTTTCAGGTTGCTCGGCGTCGTGTGCTCGAGTACCCAATCCGCTTCGAGTGGACTCCTGCACACCGTGACCCCGACAGCGTGCTGGATAATCCTGATGAGTTGGAGAACTGGCTCGGCAATGCCTGGGCCGATTACTTAGCCAAGGCAGGTGCGGCGCACCACATGATCGCCAACGCGATCTCGGAGTCGCTCACAGAGGCTTTGAAAATCCATAAGGCCACGCTGCAGTTTGTGTCGTGGGCATGTTTACGCGTCATTGTCTCGGAGAGTTGGGGCCGAGGTCCTCCGCCGCCCGTTCAGGATCCAGAGGCTCGTGAGGTTCTGGGTCAGCCAGTCGTGTTCGGCCGTGATTCAGATCATGATCTATGGTGGTGCAGGAGACTCAAGGAGCATAGGTGCAGGAGATGTGGGAGATCGGCTCGCTCGGACTCGACTCTAGCTTGGCTTAGGACAGGTTCGGGAAGGAAATGTGGGCCCTCTAGCCTCCAGAGCCTGGCCTGTGCGGAATGGTTTGAGAATTCGGGGGAGGTCTGGGTCAAAGCGTCGGACCCCCGCATTGCCCCGTTCCAAGTGCTCGTCGCGGACTTTTTGGGTGAGGGGCCTCGCGAGGCCTCGGAGGGACCCCTTCCTGGGCCCGTGGACCCTCCCCAGCAGCCTGAGATCGGCGAGGCTTCAAACAGTTCAGGGTCGACCGAGCTCATAGCCGAGTTTGCGGCTCTGGGTCGCGATGTCTTCTGTGTGAATTCGGTCTACTGTTGCCGTAAGTGTGCTGGCACGACGACCCTCGAGACGTCTCGGAGCGTTCGGAAGCTCCGTCGTCCTTGTGCTGGGCTCTCAGAGAATCCGAGCACGAGGGCCAACCAGCTGGGGTTGATCGATAGGATCTTCCACGGCCGCCAAGGGCGCTCCAAGCGCCCCGAGGGCAAAGCGCAGACGTAACTCGTCTTGCCTCCCCTGGGAGCGGTTTCGCGGCGTCGGTTTTCCCTGGCCCTCGCCCGCCCTCTCAGTACATAATATTTCCGCCGCTTCGCGGCCCCTCAGGATTCTCATTTGTTCCTGAGGCGTGTTCGATTCGGACGCGCTCTCAGCGGCCCTCACCCTCACTCTCCTCCCACCTCCCCTCCACGAGCTGCGCGTCCCACCCCCGCAGCCGAAGCGGGGACGCGCCGCTGCCCCGCGGCAGCGGGGCTGGGGAGGAGGAGGGCCCCCCGAGGGAGAAGCCCGCAAGGGCACCGGCGCTGGAGCGCGAAAGACAGCCCGAGGCGGCGAAGGAGACGCCGCCAGGGGCTCGGCGCAGACCCGAGCAGGCCCTGCGGGCCTACGGAAGTTTTCGCTCATGCCGTCTTTTGCTCCTCCCCACGGGCGGCAGGCACCTCTTCAACGACGCCTCCTGCCACCAGATCCCGCGGGAGCACCGGTCCGCCGCCCGGCCGAGGGTCTGCGCGACTCTCGAACGCGGGGGGCGGGGGCGTTAAAGAGGGAGGTGTTGAGGACGAGGGGCGTGTGGATATCATAGCCTGGCTTCTGCTTCGACCGCGCTGAACGAACCCCGGCTGCGCCCAAGAGAGTGAACAGAATGGCCGGAGCCATGACACATCCGAGCGCCTCTTGGCGCCATCTTTGTCGTTACATTCGCTGGTGACGTACAAGCACTAGTAGTAGTAGTAGTAGTAGTAGTAGTAGTAGTAGTAGTAGTAGTAGTAGTAGTAGTAGTAGTAGTAGTAGTAGTAGTAGTAGTAGTAGTAGTAGTAGTAGTAGTAGTAGTAGTAGTAGTAGTAGTAGTAGTAGTAGTAGTAGTAGTAGTCGTAGTAGTAGTAGTAGTAGTATTAGTAGTAGTAGTAGTAGTAGTAGTACTAGTAAGTAGTAAGTAGTTAGTAGTAAGTAGTAAGTAGTACGTAGTAAGTAGTAGTAGTAGTAGTAGTAGTAGTAGTAGTAGTAGTAGTAGTAGTAGTAGTAGTAGTA